TGTAATTGTCCAAAAATCGAAATTGGAAACATTTTGGAATTTTTTCAGAAAAAATGGATGTATGCGTGTGTGTATGTGTGTATGTATGTATGGATACAATTTTTCGTTCACGTTTTTGGGCGCACGGATCAACCGATTTGAATGATTCACAAAACATTTGCTTCCTATTGATAGGGAGATGTGCTGATTAGTTTTTGGCAAAGGCAGGTTCAGCCGTCACGGAAATACGGAGCAAAGAGTGCAGAAAATACAAATCAAATTTTTGAGAGAACGGATTATCCGATTTGAATGATCTAAAAAACATTCGATATGTAATTATAGGGAGAAGCGGTGATTAGTTTGTGGTAAAGGCAGGACCAGCGGTTTCGGAGATACAGAGCTAAATGTGCAAAAAATGGCAGTTTTTGAGTGAACTAAACGTCCGATTTAAATGGTTCAAAGAACTTTCTGCTTTTTTAATAAAGCAATTGCTTTTGAAAAAAATTTTTTTTCATTTATTTTTAAATTTATTTTTTCATATTTTTTTTAATTTTTTTTCCATTTTTTTCAAAAGAAATTGTTTTTTTGTACATCGAAAATAATTCAGATTTTAATTTTAATTCTGACTAAAGTTCTAATATACTTTCTTATAAATATTGGACAATGTTATAATATTTATAATAATCTATTTCAAAACATTTAATATTCGTACGGGAAGTTCTAGCAATTTGCCTTAAGGCACAATGCCATACACACCACTAGTTAACTTTTTTTAAAGTCATTTTTTCTCTAAAGTTTTAATTGTCCATTTCAAGCCAGGTGTATAAATTACTTTATAAAAAGGTTTATTAGCTAGTATTATTTAATAAAAAAAGAGTGCAGCGCGTTTTTATTTTCAAAGAGTGTTTATAGAGCTTAAAAAAACAAAAACCGAATAATAAAGTGTGTGTTTCAAACAAATATAATTCATCATATTTTTGACGTTGGGATTATTGACATAAAATTCATGCAACTTCCGCCATACGTCCATAAACAGACTAAATATACATCACTGCCTAAATGAAATAAAATTTATAATATATATATATATATATATATATATATATATATATATATTATCTGTTCAATGTATAAATCGAAATGTGTTTCGAGACAATAAAGAAATCTTGAAAATCCTCCTCAAGATTGATTTATTTATAGCAATCGCTATCTGAGACGCATTCGTTAATTGATAACTGATAATGATTTGTTTTTATCAATCACTTTTATTGGTTATTGTTGTCGATAACGATAACGATGAAAGACATCGACAAAAATCACCACAATTGTAAATTACACGTACTATATTATTAGCTTGAAACTAAATTAAAAATTACGAATATTTATTAGTAACGGTTAATAAATCGGGTCGCCATTTTGTTTTTTCTGCCATCTTAAGATTTGTTTGTGCAACTTTAATTTTAATGGAGCTCATACATTTTATTTACCTTTCCTTTATTGTTTATACATAATATAAACATTTTTACAAATATTTTCAAATCTATTTGTCAAAGTTAGATTTACATTTCTTAAATTGTCTGTTAATTTATAATTAATTTGTATGTTGACAACTAATTCAAACATGACTAACCGCCATTACAGAAACTCGTTCAAATAATTTTATATTATATAAATATTTTTATATAAAAATTTGGCGATAAATATGCATTGATAATTTGTAAGATTACTATAAACTATTTATCAATATCAAAGTTAAAATTGCTTACTTAAATTCTAATCTTTGTATCTCGTTTTTGTAATCGTCCAAAAATTGAAAATGAAATGAAAATTATTGCATTTCTTTAAAGGTTTCTGAATATTTTGGCCTACCTTAGAAAAAATGAATGTGTGTGTGTGTGTGTGTGTGTGGATACAACTTTTCGTTGACGATTTCGGGCGTACAGATCAACCGATTTGAATTATTCAAAAAGCAATCGATTTCTATTAATAGAGAGATGTGCTGATTAGTTTTTGACAAAGACAGGTCCAGCCGTTTCGGAGTTATGAAGCAAAGAGTGCTGACAATAAAAATCGAGTTTTTGAGAGAACGGAGTATCGGATTTGAATGATCTAAAAAACATTCAATTTGTAATGATTGGGAGAAGAAGTGATTAGTTTTTGGCAAAGGGAGGTCCCGCCATTTCGAAGATACAGAGCTAAATGTGCAAAGAATGGCAGTTTTGGAGGGAACTAAGCGTCCGATTTGAGTGATTCAAACAATCTTTTGCTTGACGAAACGATTGTTTTTGGGAAAACATTATTTTTTGTTATAAAATTTTGAAAAACATTTTTTTTAATATCTAAAATAATTCTGAGTTTAATTTCAATCCTAGCTAAAACTCTAAATCTCACTCATATACTTAATTTTAACTTCGCAATTTATTTTATATAATTTTTAGAAATATGAGATGAGGTCCTTCATTTTAAATTCGATTGATTAAGTTTTATTTTGTCTCTAAAATATGAATAATGAGTTACAGCATTTATAATAATCTATTTAACAACGTTTGAAATTTCTCGAATATTTCATTAGTACTACTAGTTTAATTATTCCTCTATTGGCATTCCTACAATAGGGGCGACTAACTTCAAGTAGTTCAAACACTACTACCACCATTGCAGGAACACATGTACAATAATTACTTAAGTTGGCACTAATCAAATGTGAAGTTTCAAAGGAGAATTGTTTGTTGTTTCAACTGTCACTTGATTAATTAAAGTCGTTATCTTTAATTGAAATGAACATTAATCTAGAAATTTAATAAGTTTGATATTACGTTTGAGTAATTAAATTATGCGACAGACATTTAATCGTCCTTGCAATATTAATGTCTCTGATGCAAAATTGGTTCATTCCTAATTCATAAATTATATATATCATATAGAAAATTATTAATTCAAATTTCCTTTATTCCAGATGGCGTTTGAAAAAATGTGGAAAATCATTCTTTATGGAAATCAAGATAAAAAATGACAAGTTTCTGATAAATGTCGATAACATTTCATCAAAAATGAGACACAAGTACAAAACGAGGCACCCGAAGACAGACATTCACGTCTTGAAGAACAGAAGATGAAGAAAATAATAAATATTAAAAATATGAATTATTAATATATATTTTTATTTGAAAAATTCTGAACAGAAGACTGATGATAAAAGTCTAGTCTATTTTGTAAAAATATTACATTTGTTAAATTATTTATATAAAGCATTTATGTAAAATCCAACAAAGAACAGTATTGATGTAAATTGTTATAATAAATCACAGTGTTGTGTAATAATAATTTAGTTAATTGATATCTATAGTGCAAGAATTAATTTGTGATCAATTAAATTAATGTATATGTGTTATCAGTGCCATTATTTTTTAAAAGTATTTAAATAAAAACAGAATTTTAGAATGTGATTCAATTATTAATTGAAAAATAATGAAAAAACTATGGTGATTGGGTGTTGCTTTAAATATATTTTGTTGTTTAAATAAACAGTGTCTAGTGATATTTTAAAATTAAAAACAAACATTGAAACAATTTTTATAAACAAAAGTAAAATTGTAAAACTTTAGTGAGAATTTTAATATGAAATTTTATTAAAAATATTAATTGGAAAATATTTAAAAGACTGTAAACACATCAATTATAATGTATGGTTTTAGAACTATATTTTGTTGAGACATTTATTTTTAAAATATATGAACAATTTAAATAAAAAGTGTCTTGTGGAATTTTGAAGTGAAAGAAAACTCAATTTTGTGTTTATAAAAAAATGTTATTTATCAAACAAATTGTTTATGAAATGAAATTAACAAAACTTTAGTGAGAAATGCTGTTCTTGAAATAAAAACATAAACATGTATTTAATGATACTTTGAAGTCATTAGTCAAATTATAGTGTAAATGTAATAAATTTTTAATAGTGTTTTAAGTGACTCTTTTGAAGTTTTTTTAAAGACTGGTCATTTAAATGAACTATTAACAGATTTTAATATAATGTATAAACTAAGTCATTATTAATCTTTTCCTGAATTTCCTTCTAATTGTGTTATAAACTGCGTGGAAAAGTTATCAGTGTCAATTTTGGAAGTTATGATTTTCTAAAAGTGTTCAACGTTTTTCTAAAGACTGACTAAAAAGAAATCGAACTCTTACAATATTTTAATATAATGTGTAAACCAAAAACCATAAATTTCCTCCTAATTACAATAATTTTAATAAAAATGTGCAACTCTTCATCCCCTGTCGCCTATGGGCAGTGTCTACTAAGTGAAGAAGACACTGGACAGCCCAGAAAATGCGAGTCGCTCTGTGTCCAAAAATTGAAATCCGATGAAAATCCTTCGAATTTGGCCAAAAAATATAATCAGAATGATAAAGGATATTCGGATAATTATGCTGATCAGTATCAGGATCATGATTTAGAAGGAAATGCTACGAATTTTAGTAAAAATGCTTACGAATGGGTTTGCGAATTAAGGGCTGCTGTTCTGTTGCCGAATAATACGAATTATGATGCTGCCAGGCCGAAGGTAATAAAATTAATATTTATTTTATTATTTTATTTATTACATCTATATTCTTATTAAAATTGATTGTGTAAGAGGAAGTATGTGGTACATATATGTAAAAATTTAGATGGTTTATCCCCTGTTACGCATACCACATATAAATATTCCCGAGACGTATTGTGACAAAATAAATATTTATTTTATAATTTTATTTATTACATCCACCTTCTTGTTGAAATTAATTGTGGATGTGGAAGTGTTTGGTATATAAGTAAAAATCAATCACTTGAATCTCCAAATGTACCAAATCAATTTATATGAAATGAGTTTCAAATTGAGCTGACACTTGCAATAAATTCCGGGAACATTTATATGCGTTGCAGTGGGTAAACCATCCAAATAGTTTGTGTTACCTAATTCTTTCACATATATGCCACATACCTTTTTTTTGACAATTAGTTATTTTTGTACTAAAAATTGTCTAGAAATATTTTTTATGGGTTATGCCGGGTCAGCTAGTATACATACAAATCAGAAAAATTGTCATTTTTAACTTCCCGTAGGGTAGTTAGAGTAATGGGCCGAAAATCGAAAATGAAAATTTTTGCATTTTTCGACGTTTTGAAGGTTTCTGAACATTTTACTCGCATACCTCAGAAACTAAATGGATGTGTGTGTGTGTACGGGAAGTTCCAGCAATTTGCCTTAAGGCACGATGCCATACACCACTAGTTATTGATTTATTCATACTAATAAGCAACTAAATTTTCAACTAAATTGTTACTTTTGATAAAAATGAACTAAGTATTACATGCACACACATACATGCATTTTTCTTAAGGTATGCCAAGAAGTTCAGAAACCTTTGAAACTTGAACAATATGCAAAAATTTTAATTTTTAATTTTTACGACTGCCTAAGTCTGGAATATTATATCACTTAACCTTTGATGAAATGCAACAATATAACCTAATACGAGCTCAAGGGATTTATTTGTGCAATTCCATCAGTAACTACGATTGAATAAACAGCAAACGCAATTTCATTGATTAAAACTAAATATACTCGGAATTTACTACCTACGATATGTTAGTTTGTACAGAACTGCATAATATAATATAATATTAATTCAATGATATTATCTCTGAGTTGGAATTATGTTTACCAATGTCTTGTCCTAAACAAATTGATCGAAGGGAGAAAATCTAAGGGAAAAGGACTATATCTCAATTTGATGTTAAGGAATTGACTTAAGACTTCAATTGTGTATAAATTTATAAAATATAAAACAACTAATGGTGTATGGCATCTTGCCTTAAGGCAAAATGCTGGAACTTCCCGTACCGTAATGAAATATTCGGGAAATTTTAAACGTTTTCAAATATATTATTACAAATACTGTAACTTTCATTATTTTCGCATTAACTTGTTATATCTGAGCAAATCAAATGTAAATCATTTAATGAATCAAATTATCTTCAGAACATTAACAATCGTCATTTCATTTCGAATTTAATTTCAAAAAAATAGTTGCCTAATTTGCACAAAATTGAAAAAGTCCTGCATCGTCACAGTCTAAACGCATTTGCAAATAATTCTGTGCGACATTTTCACTTATACTGTGCTTAGCTTGGCGGCATTTTCACGTTTTTCAATCACATTTTTTCACTTGGCTAAACATTTGTACCAGAGTGGCGCTTAGACTGTGCTTAGGTTGGGTAATTTTTTTAATTTTTAATCCAAAATTACAAAAATATTTTATGAAAAATAAAAAAATAATAATTTTTAATTCTCAAAAGCAATTGTTTTGTCAATACAACAAGTGGAAAGTTTTTTAGATCATTCAAATCGGATACTCCGTTCTCTCAAAAACTCGATTTGTATTTTCTGCACTATTTGCTCCGTATCTCCGAAACGGCTGGACCCGCCTTTGCCAAAAACTAATCAGCTCATCCATTTTTTTTTAGGTATGCCAAAATGGTCAGAAACCTTCAAAACGTCGAGAAATGCAAAAAATTTTATTTTCGATTTTCGACCCATTGCTATAACTACCTTATGGGAAATTAAATATATGGAAAATTTAATTGGACAATTTTATATTTTCTCAAAGTTTCAAGTAATTTTGAATTGTTTGACACCATAATTGGAAAAACTTTGTGTTTTCCGCGACAATCATCCAAGCTGTTCCTTTATAATTAGAAGATAAGTGCGAAATATTTCATCCACGTTTTAGCCAAAATCCCGAATTTATTTAGAAAATTCAAAATTAATTCTAGTTATAATCGTGCTGATTAGATTTTAGTAGATATCGACCGTATTGCGATACAGTAGAACTCCAATTATCCGAATTAATGGAGACCGGGACCCATTCGGATAATCAAATATTCGGATAATCGGAGTTTTTTTTTTAAAATTGCCATGGAGAGAAAAAAAGTTACGTTTTGATATTGCACTTTTTTTTATTGAATTAAATGAAAGAAACATGATATTTTCACATGCTTCAAATATAAATAAAATGTACTTATGTACAAGTTTAGAAATGAAAATCATTGTTTTTCAAACATCTTCGTCAAATCAAAACAAACCATGTGCCTACACTGGCTTCGCTGGTGGAAGAATAATAGCGCACTTAGATTTTTTTGGACAATTTTTTTTCTGAAAGTGATTCGGATAATCGGCGATTCGGATAGTCGGAGTTCGGATAATTGGAGTTCTACTGTATTTTCCTAATTTATCATCTGCTATTATACTAAATAACTAAATGTATGTTTTTCCCTTGTTTACCAGGTTCTGCCCGTGTTAGAGTTGGCCCTCCAGAATGCCTACGAGATGGAACTGATTCCCCGTTTCGTCAGGTGGAAGTTCATCCACCGGGACGACGCCTGCGACTCGACGAGGGCGCAGGCGGCAGCAGGAATCGCGGTCGCCCGAGACTGTGCCCACGTCCTCTTCGGCCCTGCCTGCGACTACGCACTCGGTAAGGGATTGATTTATTTATATAAATATATACATACATAAACACACGTATTATAAAGTATTACCTGAAAGGTTTCAAAAATTCAAAATAGTTTTTTTTCTCTCATATTTTGGAACTTAGTATTTTGAACGGTGTGGCCTACAGTCGAGATGCATTTGTAAAATTCAAGAAAAACTGGAAAATCTTAATAAAATTATATAAACACAGTTAACGATTTACATATCATTTTATTCGTTATTTTATTCTGCATCTTTCGTACGAACAAAGTTTTTTCGTATCTTTTACAATTTCGCTTGTAGAACGCAATCTGTGTGAATATACAATTGTCGAAATGCAAAATACGGTTAGGTTAGAGCAACACTCCTCACGATTCGATATTTTTGTAAAGAAAACATATAAAGTATTATACATCGTTAGAAAGGTCTCAAAATTCTTAGTTTTTTTCCCATATATCGCAACTTCGAATTCCGAACGGTGTGGCCTACAGGCGAGTTGCCGTCGTAAAATTTCAGGAAAATCGAAAAATCTCGAGAAAATTATATGAACACACTTAACCATTCGTATACCATTTTATTCATAATTTTATTCTGCATCTTTCGTACGAACAAAGTTTTTTCGTATCTTTTACGGTTTTCATGTTATAGAGCAATATGTGTAGATGTTAACTTGTCAAAATGCAAAGTGCGGCTAGGTTGGAGCAATACTCCTCACGATTCGATATTTCTGTAAAGAAAACATATAAAGTATTATACATCGTTAGAAAGGTCTCAAAATTCTTAGTTTTTTTCCCATATATCGCAACTTCGAATTCCGAACGGTGTGGCCTACAGGCGAGTTGCCGTCGTAAAATTTCAGGAAAATCGAAAAATCTCGAGAAAATTATATGAACACACTTAACCATTCATATACCATTTTATTCATAATTTTATTCTGCATCTTTCGTACGAACAAAGTTTTTTCGTATCTTTTACGGTTTTCATGTTATAGAGCAATATGTGTAGATGTTAACTTGTCAAAATGCAAAGTGCGGCTAGGTTGGAGCAATACTCCTCACGATTCGATATTTCTGTAAAGAAAACATATAAAGTATTATACATCGTTAGAAAGGTCTCAAAATTCTTAGTTTTTTTCCCATATATCGCAACTTCGAATTCCAAACGGTGTGGCCTACAGGCGAGTTGCCGTCGTAAAATTTCAGGAAAATCGGAAAATCTCGAGAAAATTATATGAACACACTTAACCATTCATATACCATTTTATTCATAATTTTATTCTGCATCTTTCGTACGAACAAAGTTTTTTCGTATCTTTTACGGTTTTCATGTTATAGAGCAATATGTGTAGATGTTAACTTGTCAAAATGCAAAGTGCGGCTAGGTTGGAGCAATACTCCTCACGATTCGATATTTCTGTAAAGAAAACATATAAAGTATTATACATCGTTAGAAAGGTCTCAAAATTCTTAGTTTTTTTCCCATATATCGCAACTTCGAATTCCGAACGGTGTGGCCTACAGGCGAGTTGCCGTCGTAAAATTTCAGGAAAATCGAAAAATCTCGAGAAAATTATATGAACACACTTAACCATTCATATACCATTTTATTCATAATTTTATTCTGCATCTTTCGTACGAACAAAGTTTTTTCGTATCTTTTACGGTTTTCATGTTATAGAGCAATATGTGTAGATGTTAACTTGTCAAAATGCAAAGTGCGGCTAGGTTGGAGCAATACTCCTTACGATTTGATATTTCTGTAAAGAAAACATATAAAGTATTATACATCGTTAGAAAGGTCTCAAAATTCTTAGTTTTTTTCCCATATATCGCAACTTCGAATTCCAAACGGTGTGGCCTACAGGCGAGTTGCTGTCGTAAAATTTCAGGAAAATCGGAAAATCTCGAGAAAATTATATGAACACACTTAACCATTTTATTCGTAATTTTATTCTACATCTTTTATCCTGAATAATTTTTTTTCGTATCATTTACCGGTTAGCTTGTAGTATAGGATTTGTGTGAATATTCAAATGTTGAAATGCAAATTGCGATTAAGTTCCAACAACTATTCACATTATTTAATATTTTTATAAAGTCGCTATAATTGCTATTAAAAAATGAAAAAAATTAAAATTTACAAATTTATTTATCCAAATTCACCGGTATGCGTCTTGTGTAGATTTGTATTATTGCAACAATGTGCATTTTCTTAAATGCAAATTTGTGCTTAACAAGATGTTCTAGTCTAGAATTTTTTTAAATTGATTTTTGCTTTTGATATTTATAAAGTTTAACTATTCAAGAATATGTGTGCAAGAGAATTTTTCTAAATTTAATTTATATTTGAGGATATAGCCACGATAATCCTTCTGTTTCCTTTGAATGCGTTTTTTTAGAAACTGTTTTTTCCGATATAATACTTGAGATGTCTCAACTTCTACTGGACCGATTTACTTGAAAATTTTACATAGTCCTCTTTATAAACATCTCTTCACTAAAACTCCAATTTTTACTATTTTGAAAAAAATTGTGAATATCAAAAAGTTGAAAACTCTTTTTTCTTCAGACAGTCCTTATTTTGTGAAACAAAATTTAATATAATACAACTAATTATATTATATACAATTAATTAAAGAATTAATACTAGTCTATTTGTTATTCCAATGAAAAACTGCCTTTACTAAAACGTATAAATTGAAATGTGAATAGCTAAAAAAGCATTTATAAATTAATTTGTTAGTCTATCACGTTTTCTAAATATGACAAATTTAATTTAAATATACAAGGCTTCTATTTCCTTTATTTTTCATGCTATCTTTTATTAGATTCAAATATATATTTAGGTTGCTTGAGGTAAAGGTTTTATCTGAATATCATTATTATATTTTCATATCTCTTCTTTATATATTTACATAATAATCATTTACCCATATGATATAAAAAGGAAATAATCAAAAATATAAAACAGCGTAAAAGGATTCAAATCTGTAGTCTGGTAGTTTTTATCAAAGTCGTTTTTAATTTAGTAACAAATTGAGGTGTATGAACTTCTTATAGAAAAAATAATATTTATAAATTAAAATCTTACATTCATTCGCATTTCTTGTACGCTAACATCTACATCATAGGTTCTTTCATGTATTTTTATAGCCTTACGTGTGCCTATACGTTGCATTCTATACTACACGCCTTACATCTGTACCATACGCTATATTTCATTATATACTCTCAAATCCCTACATTGTACACCGAATACACCTAACCTATATCTACTATATATCCTATTACCTATATTTTTTTTACACGCTACATTAACCCTACCGAGAATCGAACCCGGGTCCGCCGCGTGGCACGCGACGACCTTATCCACTACACCACCGTAACGCTACAATCAACCGTCTTTTTTCGCGTGTCGTCGCGCCACCTTAGTATTAATTACCTAATTAATTAGAAAATGACCCGCGGAAACAACAGTGCGTCCCATATTATATTATTAATGGGGGTATCCGGTAGGGTAGTGGTTAAGGTGCGCGACTTCCACGCGGAGGTCTCGGGTTCAATTCCGCGTTATAGACAATAGATAATATATATAATAGGTAGAGATAATACATAGGGCGTAAGGTAAACTATATAATATAGGTGAATATATAAATTAGACAGTAGTATTTATAAGAAGTAAAAGGTCTGTAGGTTATATAATAAGATAATGACGGTATAGGTATCTCACGGTATGATAGATAATAGATATTTATCGATGATATACAATAATATAATGTAGTATGATAGGTAATAGGTTATCTATCATATTATTAGGTTAAGTCTTATAAAGTATTGTAATAAATCTTGAGTACTTTTATATCATAATAAATACCTGTAGGTATTAATGAATACAAATAATACCAGAATAAATATAATTAATGTCATTGAAGAATATAAATTATGTACTCAATGATTCCCTCATACTTGTACAATTTAATGTATAGACTAGCTGTATATAATAGAGTTAATTATATAATAAGTTATTATTAATAATATAATTATTATTATATATATATTATTATATATTATATATTATATATATATTATTAATTATATAATAATTATATAATATTACATTTGTGAGGTCTTATCGAAATATATCAAATTTTTTGAATCGGATTTTAAATTTCGGTATATAATAGAGTTAATTATATAATAAGTCAATATATTACATTTGTGAGGTCTTATCGAAATATATCAAATTTTTTGAACCGGTTTATGAACCGGATTTTAAATTTTAGCGTTCCGGCAAAAAAAATATTAGCACAACACCACTGGGTAGTACATAATATAATAAAAATTATTCGTTTTTTGTGTCTATTACACACTGTATACAAATTGTGTATATTTTTTTCATATATAGTATATAAATTGGTTTGATTTTCTTTCGACGACTTTGAATTTGATATTTCATTATTTAGCAATAAATAGAAAATTTAGGACATTTTTTTGGTTTTTGTCAAATAACTCAAAAATTTAATATGGAACCACCCCCTTTGTTTTGGATAGGGTGAAACTAGGTAAAATTTACAACATTTCACAGGGAACACTTTTAGAGAGTCCGAATTGCAAGTTTTGAATAAAACGACTTTGATTTCGATATTTCTTCATTCTTCCGCAATAAATAGAAAATTAGAGACATTTTTTTGGGTTTTGTCAAATAACTCAAAAATTTCATATGGAACCACCCCCTTTGTGTTAGATAGGGTGAAACTAGATAAAATTTACAATTTTTGTACAGTTTGTAGGACAAATAAAATACATCTTAAGTATGATTCTATCGATTGCAAAATTTATTCTGCTGTAGGGTTAAATTTAACATTAGTTGAAATGAATTTATTATTTAATATGGGTTATTGAAAAATCTTACTGTCAATATTAAGATAAACTTTTTAGTATTTTAGTTGTAATTTTTCAAACCAACTTATACATTTTAGTTTTTAAATTAAATTTTACGAAGGAT